GTTCAAATTTGTGTCGATTTTTTCATTATACATTTTCTCCGATTTTGATTAATGCTTTAATATATTCATAACTTTTTTATATAATCAAAATTAAAATCTTGGCTGTATAAAATTTAGCAATTAATTTAGTCTACACTTTATAACAATAAATCAAAATCCATTTCCAACTAATCTCCAATAAATATCATTTAACCTGCGAAATTAGACAAATACTTGTGGAGCTCAAATACGTTCAAAATAGCCATCATTTAGTTCCGGTCAATGCAACGTAACACAAAGCAGAGTTGGAACAGCTGGGAGGGTCAAGGGTGTCACAGCTGATAGGAAAATAGGGACTCGTTATGTGGTATACAAGGAAATTTTGGACGATTTTTTTTCTATCTCATTTTATTTATTTCTTCTTCTTTTTGTATTCTGTATTTGTTTTATTATATTCTCTTGTGGTGTTTGATTAGTTTCTAAAATTAAGATTAGCTTTTTCTACACAGTATTGTTTTGCCATTGCAAGTGCTTTACTTTATTCCTCTTCGTTTATTATTTTTTTCATTTATTTTTATTTTATTTTGCATTTTTTTTTTTTTTTTTTTGGGGGGGGGGGGGTTAATTCCTGTTTAGTGCATTGTTTGACCCTGTGTAGTTATATTCATTTTTCGTTCATACAAGACAATTGCGTAAAATAATTTCCAAATTTTTATTGTTTTGTTTTGTAATAATACATCTAATGCTTTCTCGTAGATTTATGTAGCATTATTTTAGTTTCTTTTAGCAGACGTTAAATTATTTATATATCGGCATAACTGTGTCATTACACTGTATGTGCAATTACGATTATTCAAAATCTATTTTTCATCAAACCCCAAGGATACTTTTCATTTCGACTTTAACAAAGTGACCAAAACTAATTCCATAATTAATACAAAATTAAACAGCAAGAAGCATAAAACGCCAAAATAAAGCATAAACAGGTAAGTGCATAAAAAATAAATAAATAAATAAAATAAGCATTTGTAATAATCTAAAATCCATATTTAGGAAACAAAGAGAGGGATGAAAAGAAGAGCAGGAAAAGAAAAAAGTAAATATGAATAATAAGAAGAAAAGAAAAGAAAAGGAAAACACAAAACGAAAGAGAAAGAAAGAAAAAACAGGCAAGGCACACATGCATAAAAAGGACAATTAAAAATCCCCGTCATGAAATACAATAGAATGACATTATCAAAGTCACCCATTTCACCAGCCAGACTCACATCGTTATATGATACTTGTTACTAAATGATTTGAAGAACGAAATAATATCATCTTGACTGAGGACTTGAAATAGATAACGAAATAGATGACAAAAATGTACCCATAAAAGCAGAAAAATTCGCAGTATTTATCTAGAGAAAAAGATAAACGATCCATGATAAACAACATAGTAAGACGACTTACCTTAAAATAACAAAAAGCATACGTAAAATAAACAAAAAACAAAAAACAAAAAGGGGTGGCGACAACACACAGGTGAACTGACGCGACAGAAGCATAACCGACGAAGTGTGTGTGGATGTGTATAACCAGCCGAAACAGATGACAAATGAAAACAGCCATGCGTATTATGTTGGCCAGAATGTCATGAGAATATGCTAGAATGAACAAGTATGTTGGCATGTTATACTCTATCCCCTTTGCAACTTTATCCTGCATGGGGGTGGTTTGCACAGGCGCCAAGAGTGGAGCAAAAACGCAAAAAAGTATTGCGTTTATATAAGGTTCGCGTTACAAATGTTTTGTTGTTCTGAGGGGCGGGGGGAAAGAAATGGAAAATTGAGAAAGAGAGAGAGAAGAGCGAGAGAGAGAGATATAATTAATGTGAGAAGGGAGAGAGAGAATAAAAAAGAGAAAGAATTAAAAAATGAGAGAAACTATGTAAACGAATTACTTATTATAATGTATTTCAATCTATCTAATTTGATTTAATTCATTATTAAGATTTAGTGTCTTTATTCATATTTCGTTTGCTTACGTTTTTTTTCTTTTTTTTATTCATTCTTTTCGACATGTTTACCAAACAAAAAATCGGTAACAGACACTGACTGTAAATTATCTCTAATGTTTATGATAATTGCAAAAGTAGTAATGATAACAACAATAGCAGTTATCTTCATGATGATTATAATAATGACAATATTGACAATAATTATCAATGATACTGTGGTTACAGTGGTGTGGAAATACTCATGAAATTACTTTGAGGTAGAAGTATAAGAATGGTAATAAAAATGATGCCAATAAGTTGATAATGGGAATGATAAAAACGACAAAGATGACCATACGAAACACGAGAATAATAATGGCGAATAGAAAATGATGATGGATGATGATGGCAGTGAGGATAACGTTAATAAAATAGATGATACTTATAATCCAACGGAGGTAAATATTTCCAAAAAAAAAAAAAAAAAAAAAAAATCAAAAGCGTATGTTTATTGACTGAGAAAACAACGCAATCTTGACAAAG